TCCCATCCCTCACCCTCCGCTGCCCCCTAGTGCCTATTATACAGTACAGCCGCCCCTTTCCTAACCCTCAACCTCCGCTGCCCCCTAGTGCCCATTATACAGTACAGCCACCCCTTCGCCACCCCTTACTGCTCTCTTTGCCCCACAGCGCATCGAGGGGTCGCTGTTTCCCAGCAGGCTGCACTACTTCAGCCAGGCCGTCAGTGGCGGGACAGATCTGACGAGGGACGGACTCCCAGATATCGCGGTGGGAGCACAAGGGCAGGTCCTGCTGCTGAGGTGAGTTACTCTGTCGTTGCACTGCTCCACATGGCAATCACAGGCCTTGTCCACACTACAGAGCTTTTTTTAATAGAAGTTATGTCAGCGATCAAGAGACTCTATAATTTCTTCGCTATTGCATGTTCACATTACCCTCCTTCTGTCGGCAGAGCTCATCCACACTTGGTGCTGTAGCATTAACAGTGAGAGTAGTGCACTGTGTGGGTACCTATCCCAGTATGCATCTCGCCTCAGCCCCTCATGGGTGCTAGCTCAATGTTCTGTGATACATTATCTCCTGTCCCAACATTCCATGGTCTTCCGATCACTTTTAGTAGCATTTTTAACACCACCTGTTTACTCTGCACCCACCATCTCTGTGTGAAAGGATGGATCCTGCAATACTCTCTACTGTTATGGTCACTGTTATGAACACATCATGGCTCATCATACAGTATATCATGAGCTCCCAATCTGAACAGCAATCAGAGTTGCCTGACCTGCTGTGTGCAATGGAAAGAAACAACACCAGATTACTTTTGGCATTCATGGAGCAGCTGAACACGGTGGACCATTGCTTTTGGTCTCAGGAGACAAGCACTGAGTGGTGGGATCGCATCATTGTACAAGTCTGGGATGACGATCAGTGGCTGCAGAACTTTCAGATGCAGAAAGCCCCTTCCTGGAACTGTGTGCGGAACTCGCCCGAGCACTGCGGTGCAAGGACACCAAAATGAGAACAGCCCTCTCAGTGGAGAAGCACGTGGTGATTGTTGTGTGGAAACTGGTGACTCCACACTGCTACCAGTCAGTCACGAATCAGTTTGGAGTCAGGAAGTCGACCATGGGTGCTATGTTAACCCAAGTGTGCAGGGTCATTAATCGCATCCTGCTACGAAGGACCGTCACTCTTGGCAATGTGCGTGAAATAGTGGATGGCTTTGTGGACGTGGGATTCGAAAAATGCAGCAGGGCACATATTCCAATTTTGGCCCCGGACCATCTTGCGATGGAGTATATCAATAGAAAAGGGCACTTCTCCATGGTATTGCAGGCACTTGTTGATCACTGCAGGCATTTCACTGACATTAGCATGGCGTGGTCCAGGAAGGTGCATGACGCACGCATCTTGAAGAACACTGGTCTGTACAGAAAGCTGCAAGCAGGGACTTTCTTTCCACACCAGAAGATTCCAATGGGGGATTTTGAAATGCCCATAGTGATCCTGGGAGACCCTGCCTACCCATTACAACCATGGCTCATGAAGCCTGACACAGGAAACCTAGACAGCAGCAAGGAGCACTTCAACAATAGGCTGAGCAGGTGCAGAATAACCCTGGAATCTGCGTTGGCAGATTAAAAGCGCGCTGGCGATGCCTTTATGGCAGGTTAGATCTAAGTCAGAAAAAGATTTCAATAGTCATAGCACACTTCATAATCTTTGTGAGGCTAAGGGTGAAAAGTTTCCCCTGGGGTGGAGTGCTGAAGCAGACAACCTGGCTGCTGATTTTGAGCAGCCTGATACCAGGGCTATTAGAGGGGCACAATGGGGGGCAATTTGAATCAGGGAGGCTTTGAGGCAAGATTTTGAGATTGCAAACCAGTAATGTATATTTTTATACAGCAATATGCCATGCTTCATGTAACTCAGTTATCTTATTTGGCCTCGCACTTGTGATTCCTGACGGATTTGTAGTAAGCAAATGATTAGAATTCATGTATATGTTACTAGCAGCAACAATCACTATGTGTAGGCATGGGCGGTCATTGAACCGCAGGCTCGGGGACGCTAGCCCCTGGCCCAGCCCGCTCCTTCTGCTCCTGTGCCTACCCCTCCTATCCCCCCCTTCCCTGCCAGAGCCCAGAGGCCCCCCCACCCAAGCCCTGGTCCGTCTGACTGCCTCCAGCCCTGGAACGCCGGGTGGAGCACCCCCCAGGCTTGGAGTGCCGGGCAGGCAGCGTGCCCCCCAAGCCTTACAGGGCTGGGAGGGTGGGCAGTGTGCCCCCCCCCAGACCTGGAGTGCCAGGTAGGCAACGCCCCCCCCGCCCCCAGCCCTCGAGCGCCGGGCATGCAGTGCAGCCCCCAAACCCTAAGCACTGGCTCCAGCTTCCTGGCGTCCCTGGCTGCAGGCCGGCCCCCATTAGCCCCAGCCCCAGACTGGGGCCCCGGCCAAGGGGGAAGAGCCACAGCAGAGTGCGGCAGGAAGCAAGAGGGGACCTGGGGGTGAAGCATGGGCAGGGCCATGCAGGGCTGCTTGGGGAGACTCAACCTTCCCCAGCCTTTGATACCCGCCACCCATGCATGTAGGACACAAATAAAGTTTGGTTATCTTTCAGAGAGTTTGTTTTTATTAAACGCCAGTTAACATACACAAAAGGCTTGGTGGGAGGGGAGATAAGAGTGCAGGGAAGTGGAGTCTCTCATAACTGTGCATAAGTCCAGCTATCAATTTGGAAGCTGTCTGAAGGATTAGAGTGAATTGGATCCTGAGACATTCCAGGAAGTTGCAAGGAATGTTTGGGAGGAGTTTGGGGAGGGCATGGAAAGCAGTTTTGTATCGGCTACGGGGGGGGGGGGGGGGGGGGGGGGGGGGAGGGGTGTTTTGTGGGGGGGGGGGGGGGGGGGGGCAGTGGGGTGAGCATGCATCTGTTCTGCCTGGAGTGTGATTAGGGACTTCAACATCTCTGTTTGCTCCTCCATCACTTTTATCATCCTCCCATGGGCCTTTACAATGTACTTCTCATGCCCTTTCTGTCCCGTCTTCCCATTTCTCTCAGCACCATGCATTCTTTTTTTTTCTGACTCAGAGAATTGGAGCACCTCTCTCAACATGTCCTCCTTGTTCCACTTTCGTTGCTTCCTTATCCGGTGTAGGTGCTCTGCCGGTGTGTAGTGGGGTCCCCTGAATGCCACAGCTGCAGATGCACAAGAAACAATGCACAGGAGCATGATTGTTAGTTCACGTACAGCATTGAATCATTACAGTAAAATACACCTCTTGTAACATACCAATCACTTTCTCAATGTCCCTTGGCAAGCACACATCTCAGTGAACACCCTAAAGATGTTGAGTATGGCCTAGGTGGGGATGGGGTGGACATTTGAAATGGGGCAAAGGGTGTTGATGAGGCTTTCAGAAGATCAGTGAAGGTGACTGGGGACAATATTGTAAGTAGTGCCACCATTTTCCACATATGGGGGTCATTGAACCTGATATCTCACTCTTGAGGGTAAGCAAGGGCGCATCTACTGCATGCATCCAGGTTCAGACCCGGTCCCTATGCTGCTCACCTGTGTGCCTCTTTGGTCCCTGCACAAGTGATTGCCAAGTGGTGCGAGAAAGTTTCCTACAATGGGGAAGGAACAAAGCAGCTCTGCCAGGGAACCTTTGGCAGAGGATTGGCAAGTACCTCCAGGGTAGTTTGCTAGAGATCTCTCTGGAGGATTCCCATGAAATCTGGGTGTAGATCAACACACTGTTCCACTGCACTGCTAAGCTGCACAGGGAAATGTGCAGCACACAGAAACAGAGCTAGTCTTGCATATTTCTATCTCTTCGTTCGCCCACTACTACAGTATTCAGAGCAAAGGACAGCTGTCCGCCATGTAATCAAGCAGTATCTGCTCAAAAGATCACTTACCAGGGGTCTCTTCTCCTGCATCGTACTCACCAGAGACGAACTGCCTGGACTGTCTACATCCCTCTTGAGTGGAAAAGAGCTCCTGACAAGCCGTGGGACCAGACGTAGAGTTCACAATGTCCTGCAACTTGACCTCCTCATCCACGACTTCGTCCTCAGGCTTAGGTCCACTTTCCATTCCCTCTCAACCCACCAAAGTGTCCACGGGGCTCTTTGCGGTGGAGGTGGAGTTGCCACGAGGATGGTGTCCAACTCCTTGTAGAAGCAGCAGCTCTTGGGCGCAACACCGGAGTGAGGGTTTGCCTCCCTCGCCTTCTGGTACACCTGCCTCAGCTCCTTTATCTCCGCTCTGCACTGCACCGTGTCCCGATTTGTAGCCCTTCTCACAGAAGCCATGAGAAATGTGCCCCTAGGTCTTGAAGTTCCTATGGCTGGAACAGAGCTAGGACTGGACAGACTCCTCTCACAATATACTCAGCAGATCCAACAGCTTCACAGTGGTCCAAGCGGGAGAGCGTTTGCCTCGTGGAGCTGCCATGGTCAGCTGAGGAGATGTGATGTGAGCTCTCCACACTGAGCAAACAGCAAGTGGAACTTCAAAAATTCCTGGGCCTTTAAAGGAGGAGGGCGGATGCTTGTTTATGTGGCCGCAGAGCAGCGGGGTTCGAACCACTGATTAGTGCAGTCAGGACGTAGGGTTCCCAACTTTCTAGTCGCACAGAACCAAACACCTGCCCCGTCCCCGCAGCCCCACCACCCATCACTACATTCCCCCTCCCTCAGTGTCTCACTCTCCTCCACCCTCACTGACTTTCACTGGGGTGGGGCAGGGGTTGGGGTGCAGGAGGGGGTGAAGGCTCTAACTGGGAGTGCAGGCTCCAGGGTGGGGCCAGAAATGAGGGGTTCAGGATGCAGAAGGGGGCTCCGGGCTGGGTCAGGGAGTTGGGGTGCTCGAGGGGGTTAGGGGGTGAGGGCTGTGGCTCAGGTATGGGCTCTGAGGTGGGGCTGGGGATGAGAGGTTTGGGGTGCAGGAGGGGGCTCCAGGCTGGGGGGTGGGGTCGAGGGATTTGGCATGAGGGAGGGGGCTGTGGGTTGAGGCAGAGGGTTGGCGTGCAGGAGGGGGTGAGGGCTCTGGGCTGGGTTTGGTAGCTCTGGGGTTAAGCTGGGGATGAGGGGTTTGGGGTACAAGAGGTGGCTCCGGGTTGAGGGGGGCCCGGGACTGGGGCGTGAATTTACCTTGGGCGGCTCCTGCTCAGAAACAGGCAATGCTGGAGCTGGTGCTCGGGGCAGGGGCACTACGCAGAGCCCCGTGGCCCCCCACCTAGGATAGGTAGGGACTAGCCTGCCTTAGAGACGCAGTACTGCCGACTGGACTTTAACGGCCCGGTTGGCCGTGCTGACTGGAGCCGCCAGGGTGCCTTTTCCACCAGTTGTTCCAGTCAAAAACTGGATACCTGGTCACCCTATCAGGAAGAGCATTGTGGAAAACCTCCGGGAGGCAAATTATAGCGACATAACCAAACACAGTCTTTACACTGGCACTTTGTCAACAAAACTTTGCCGCCAAAAGCACCATGCCTCTCGTCGAGGTGGTTTTATGTTGTTGGCAAAACAGGAGAGTTTTATCACCAAAAGTCACATTCTAGTGTGTAAACCTCCACTGTTTTGTGGACAAAAGCTGCCTTTTGTAGAAAAAAAAACTCTATAGTGTAGACAAGACCTTAGTATACTGTTTGAGTGTGACTGCTGCCCCCTGCTGGAGAATGGCACAATGACCACTCTGCTGCTCCCTTCTCTGCCCCGCAGCATCTCCTCTAGCAGAGCTGCGTGTCCATAACCAATCTCCCTGGGGTGCTGTGAGCACATCCAGGCTGGGTGGGAGGCTCTGGGGAGGGAGGGGGCCTGGCCCCATTGCAGAGAGCAGATGGGTGATGGTTCTGTTCCCCCGATGGCAGGTCCCGGCCGGTGCTCAGAGTCGGGGTCTCCATCAGCTTCCAGCCCCCCACGATCCCCACCTCGGCCTTCGACTGCCAGGGGCAAGAGCAGCTCAACACAGAGGCCAGCAGGGCAGAGGTCTGCTTCACCGTCACTAAGAGCACCATGGACAGCCTAGGTCAGACCAAACCCACCACTGGCTCCCCTCTCCCCCGAGCCAACCAGTCCTCTGCCCTGGGGATGGATCGGAGCCAGCGCCCCCTAGAGGGGAAAGGCCCCGTGTCCCATTTCCCCTTAAGGTTCCCACTCTCAGTGTCTCTCTGTCCCTCGTTTCCCCTCCCCCGTAGGCGAAATGATCTCCAGCATCATCCAATACAGCCTGGCCCTGGACCCCGGGCGGACGAAGATCCGAGCCACCTTCGACTCCACCGGCCCCGTCCTGAGCAGGGAGCTGCAGCTCGGCATTGAGAAGAAATGTGAGACGTACCGGATAACAATACCTGTGAGTGTGGGGGGGTCCCAGCTCCTTCCTCTCCTCCTGTGTCTGGTCCTCCAACCCTGCCCCAAATCACCCAGAGAACAAATCTCTCTCTGGGTCCCACACAACCCCCAGTCCCCCTTTTCCGTCAGGGGACCGAAGTGTCTCTCTGTTTCCCCAGCTCTGCCCAGAGGACACCGTGACCCCAATCACCCTGCGTCTCACCTACACCCTGACAGGGGAGCCCATCGCTGCCGCCAGCCGCCTCAGACCCATCTTGAGCGAGGACTCTGCGCCGGTGTCTACAGGCTCGGTAAGGTGCCAGAGCCAGGCCCCACGCTGGGTCTGCTGCAGGGATCGAACCAGTGACTGTGGGGTTTGAAAACAAGAGTCTGGAAAATTAAGAGGCAGCAGCAGCCTCCTAGCCGCCTGTACTCAGCGCAGCCACTAGAGGGCAACAAAGATGGATGCTGAGTTTGCCTTGGCATCTCTCCTCCCTGGAAACACTCCAACCTCTCCCCAAAGCTCCCAAAATTTCTGTCCAAAACACAAAATATTTTGGCTAAAAAAAATGATTTTTGCGGGACAATTTTCAATACTTATTTTGGCCAGGGCCCCCTAGAGGGGACAGACCCCATGTCCTGTTCCCCATCCCCCTGAGCCAGCCAGTCCTCCAGCCATGGCACCACTATAAGTGTGAAACCGCTGCTGGGCAGAGCGTGAGGAGGAAGAGTGTGTCTGGGGGGGGGGGACTGATGATGGGCTTAGCTGTCCCCCTGTGCAAAGGACTGGCAGGTGCTGGGGTAACAGGAGGGTCCCTGGGTCCCTGCAGTGGCGCTTCGGCAGGTGGTGCTGCAGCCCCCTCCCCACCCACTCTGATCCTGCTCTCCTGCGTCTCCCCCCAGCTCCCGTTTCAGAAGGACTGTGGCATGGATGGCCGCTGTGATGACCAGTTAGAAATCTCCTTCAATTTCTCTGGGTAAGTGACTGAATCTTGCCCCCAAAACGCTTACCATGGTGGGACGCGTCAAGCTTGATCACACCTCAGATCTTCAACATCCAGCTGGAGATCTTGTCAGATTTCCAGTTCTGATGGATCCTGGGTGGGGGGGTGTGAAGGGTTGCCCCGCCCCGCTCCGGGCTTTCCCCTGATGTACTGGGGTACCACTGAGCCCGCCGGTTCCACCAGCCTGGGCTCCCTTATACTGTTCTGCTGGGCCAGGCCCTCAAGCCTCCTCCAGCACACACCCAGGTAGGGACACACTCTCAGAAATCTGTACAGCGTAAGCTCATGAAAATCGCCCCCTCCCTCAGTGGGGAGGATGATATGCACAGCTTTTTACCCCCAGTTATGAATTGCACAAACTGGTTTAGAAAAAACAAACACAAGTTTAATAACTAAAAAGGATAGATTTTAAGTGATTATAAGTTTTAGCAAACAGATCAAAGCAGATTACTGAGCAAATAAACAGACATGCAGACTAAGCTTAATACACAAAAGAAACTGGCTACAAGCAGTAATTTCTCACCCTAAACGTTGTTTTAAGCAGGTTGCAGAGTTTCTTGTAGACAAACCACTCTTGCTTGCAGTTTAGAACCCCAGATATTCCTTTCACAGGCCAGACACCTCCTAGCCTGGGTCCAGTCCTTTCTTTCTCAAATCAGTCTTAGATATTTTCAGCAGTCATCTTGAGCAAGGATTCAGTGGAGATCCGGCCCTGATTAACTCACTTCCCTGCCTTATATAGGACTTACATGTGGTGGGAATCCTTTGTTTCTCTGTTTGATCCCCATGCCCTATTTGTGGAAAAATACTAGCAGTCCAAGATGGAGTCCAGTACCAGGAGACATGATCAGATGACCCTGCAGTGTCAAAGCAGCCATAAATCCTCAAGAAGACTTTCCAGGAAGGTGGGAGATTAGCATCTTCAAAGTCCTATTGTTCTTGTGAAAGTTACTAGTGCCCCCCCTTAACAGCTAGCAGCCGTTATGTCAGCCAGCGGCCATTAGGGGGAAGCAAACACCTCAAGTACACAGTAGCCTGAACCTTTCAACTGTCTTCCCTTTCAAGGCCTTAAGGTAGTTGAAGCTGGTCCCAAGCCGGTTTTCATTAACCAGATAGCAAAAGCACGGGTCTGACAACCACCAATCAAGTGTTAACACGGCAAGGGCCTTTGTCTAAATGTGTATAAAAAATCGGTAAAATATGTGTAAAACAAAGTCTTTGTACCAAGGTGCAAATCTCTCCTTTCTTCTGCAAAATAAAGCAACTCTTCCTTATCCCTGTCTGGCTGTTATTAGCTCTCAGCTAGGTGAACCCGATATTTCGGTAACATTCTGCCTAATGACCCACTGACTAACCAGCCAGACTGATTGCATTTTCACTGGTGGGCGTTCCCCAGGTGCAAACCCACTTGTAATTGTTACATAGTCAATATTCCTAACTTCAGATACAGAAATGATACATGCATACAAATAGGGCAATCACATGCAGTAAATCATCACCTTTCCAATGATACTGCACATGACCCATCTTGCATAAAATACAACTTAGTTATGCCATATTCATATCACAACATTATCTTTATAAAGAATATGGAGTGTAGGGTCACAGGGTGCACTACTGTGGGGAAGATGCACCCCTGGAAGCTCACAGTGCTGGGCTCCCCGGCTGGGCACTGCTGGAAGAAGTTCACAGAGCGGCCAGGGAGCTGCCTTGAGGAAACTCACCCCTTTCTCCCCCCTTAGCTTGAGCACCCTGGTGGTGGGGGTCACCCCTGAACTCAATACCACCGTCTCCATCCAGAACCGTGGGGAGAATTCCTACAGCACCACAGTGCAGTTCTTCTACCCGGCCGCGCTGTCCTACCGCCGGGTCCTGCTGCTCCAGGTACCCCAACATACACCAGGCATGAGGGGCAGGCTCTGCAGGGGGCGCCATGCTGCAGGGAGTGTACAGGGAGCTCAGCAGGAGGTGCTCTGCTACACGGAGTGGGCTGGGGGCTCGTGAGGGGTGCTGATCTTTAGAGAGCAGGCAGAGGGCTTGGTGGGGGCACCGGGCTGCAGGGAGTAGGTGGGGGACTCGCCAGGGGTGCTGAGTTGCAGGGAGAAGGCAGGGTGCTCGCCAGGGTGCTAAGCTGTGGTGAACGGATGTGGGGGCTTGGCAGGGGCGCTGTGGGCTGCGTCTCTCACTGGCTGGTCCCTGTGCTCAGTCCAACAGGAGGGCCATGGCCATTAAGTGCAGCTCGGCCGTGAGCTCCGAGGAACAGATTCAAAGGAACAGCACCTGCCACATCAACCACCCCATCTTCTGGAGTGGAGCTGAGGTAGGGATGGGCCTTGGACATCCTCCCACAACTCAAGACCATGCCCCAGCCCTGAGCCCTCTCCCACACCCCAAACTCCTCTTTTCTGGCCCCACCCCAGAGCCCACATCCCCAGCTTCTATCCTCACCCAACCCCCTGCCCCAGCCCAGTGAAACTGAGTGAGGGTGAGGGAGAGCGAGTCACTGAGGGAGGGGGGATGGAGGGAGGGGGCGGGGCCTCAGAGAAGGGGTGGGGTAGGGGAGGGACCTCAGAGCTGGGGCGGGTCAAGGGTGTTCGGTTTTTGTGGAATGAGAAAGTTGGTAACCCTAGTGTAAGCCCAGCTGTGGGCAGAGAGGGGAAGTTCCCTGGGGTCAGCCCAGCCCATGACAAGAGATGTGCTGGGGAAAGTGCCCGAGGAGCCCGGCAAGTCAGTGCAAACAGAGCCCTGAGGTCACTCCGGGGCTGCAAACCAAGGGCCAGACTTGCGGGGCTGGAAATCAGGCCCCACTGGGGGAGAGAGGGGAGGGGCTGTTACCTCACCCCTTTGGGGTCCTTAAAAGGATGGTTAATGGGCTGTTGCCATGGCATAGAGTGGGTTGAGGTCTCTGGATCCCAAACCGGATGAGCGCTGTCTGTGGACAGGGACAGGGTCGTGTTAACACCTTTGCCTCCCTGGACCCATTTATTCCATCTAAGTTCATACAACAGTCCCCCTGATCCCCTGTGCCTGCCCCGCCCCCGCAGGCTCTGGCAGTTCCCCAGACCCTGACTCTCACCGCACCTGTGTTTTCCAGGCCGTCTTCATTGCCACCTTCGACGTCTCCCCTGAGGCCGACCTGGGGGACAGGCTGCAGATCATGGCCACCGCCAGCAGGTGAGGGTGCAGGGAGTGGCAGGAGGGCCGGGCAGGTGGAGTGGGTCAGGACGCAGGGGCTCCCATTTTTCCTGGGGCCCCCAATTGGCTGGGGCCCCTGGGCATGTGCCCCATTGGCTAATCCACCACGGGGGTGGGGGCAGTGGGAGGGGGCCATGCATGGAGCAGGGCTGTGGCCTGTGGTGCAGCCTCCCTGCACAGTTATCTGCCTGCGTCCCCTCACATCTCTCTCCTTTGCCCTCCCCTCCCCCCAGTGACAATGGCGGCCCCATCACCGAGCACATGATTCACCGGGCGGAGCTGCCAGTCAAGTACGGCATCTTCATCATCCTCACCAGGTAGGTCAGTGTGGAGACAGAGGGGAGAGCGTCCCCTGCTGGGCCCTCATCCCCGCTCCCTGCACCACAGTGCCCCCACCCACCGCCACTCTCCAGCCCCATCCATCACACTCTCATCTCTCTCCTTCCTTCCATCCTTTTCCTCCCCCAGCCATGAGGAGTCGACCAAGTACGTCACCTTCTCCACCGAGGAGGCAGGGACAAGCGTGCCAGTGACACATCGGTATGAGGTGAGGCCGGCGGCACATAGTGTGTGTGTGGGGGGGAGAAGGGACAAGGAGGGGTCTCAGAGCAGCTTCCAATGAGTCTCCCAGGTACGAGAGCCCCCTAGGATTGCCAATTTCTACTCACACAAAACTGAACACCCCTGCCCTGCCCCGAGGCCCCGCCCCTACTCCTCCCATCCCCTTTCCCTCCATCGCTCGCTCTCCCCCACGCTCACTCTCTTTCACCGGGCTGAGGCACGGGGTTGGGGTGTGGGAGGCGATGAGGGCTCTGGCTGGGGGGTGCAGGATCTGGGGATGAGGTGTTTGGGATACCGGAGGGGGCTCAGGGCTGGGGCAGAGGGGTGGGTTGTGTAGAGGGGTTCAAGATCCCAACGGCGCTCTCAGAAGCGGCCACCAGCTCTCTGCAGCTCCTAGATGAATAGGCAACCAGGGAGACTCCATGTGCAGCCGTCATGCCTACAGGTGCCACCCTCGGAGCTCCCATTGGTCACTGTTCCCAGCCAATGGGAGCTGTGAAGCCGGACCTCGGGGCGGGGGCAGTGCATGGAGCCTCCCTGGCCATCCATGTGTCTAGGGGCTGTAGGGATCTGGCGGCCGCTTCCGGGAGCCGCACGGAGCTAGGGCAGGCAGGGAGCCTGCCTTAGCCCTGGTCCCCTGCTGCATTGCCAAACTACCAGGGTCTCTTTTCGACCGGGCGTTTGAGCCAAAAACCAGAAACCTGGCAACCCTAGAGCCACCCAACACCGGGCGAGGGATCCCCGTGTGTACATCACCAGAGCCCCTCCCCAGAGGCAGAACTGCCTGAATGGGATCTAGTGGGTTAGAGCACAGAGGGCTGGGCAGGGAGCCAGGACTCCCGGGTTCTATCCCCAGCTCTGGCAGTGGAGTGGGGTCTGAGGGTCAGAGCAGGGGCTGGAGATCAGAGCTCCTGGGTTCTCTTCCTGCAGTGCCCTATGGCGAGTCTGTTTCTTTCAGGTCAAGAACCTGCGGCAGCGAAGCGTCCCCGTCTCGGTCATGTTCCAGTTCCCAGTGGTGCTGAGCGGGGTCCAGGTGTGGGATGCCTCTGAGGTCGTCCCCTCCAAGGTACCTGCCTCTCCCTGCCCTTGTGTGTGTGTGAGATGGGCCCAGTGACACCTGCTCTGCCCTACAGCGCCCCCTGCTGGGACAGGCTGCCTGGGGGGGATAGGCCACATGTTCCCCCGACCCCCCCCCTCGACCTTCCCCACAGCCAGCCAGTCCCCTGCCCTGGTGCTGGATTGTAGCTGGTGCCCCCTAGAGGGGAAAGGCCCCATCTCCCCTTCCCGCCCCCGTTAACACTGTGTCTCTCTCCCTCCCCAGCCCCAGCTGGCTCAGTGCGCCAGTGAGGCTGAAACTCCCGGTTCAAAGGACTTTGTGAAGCAGATGAGTGAGCGCCCCCTGCTGGTGAGTACAGGCTGGTGTGGATCCCAGCAGCCCCTTCCCCTCCGCACTAACAGAGACAGCAAGTTGGGGGACTGGGCTGGAGGAGGGACCCCTGCTATAGACAGACCCAGACCCTCATGGCCATGCTGAGCCCCTGCACGCCCCCTGCCTCACCCGGTGATATCCTTCCGCCCCCAGGACTGCTCCGTGGCCACCTGTAAGAAGATCCGGTGCAGAATCGCCTCCCTGGAAATGCAGCAGCCGCTGGAGTTCATGATAAAAGGAAGGGTCGGCTTCCAGTGGGTCTCCCAGGTATGAGAGATGCCTCTGCCTCCCAGCACCAGGCGAGAGATGCTCCCCATGTGAACTGCCCCCATGCCTCACCCCAGAGGTGGATGCATACAGTTCCAGACAAGGGATCCCGGTGTGAACGGCCTGTAAATTGTTCTGGTTTCCTCTGGGCTGACGCTCTGGGCTGGTTTGTGTCATTTCTGGTCAGGGACGGTGAATTTCTCTGTTCCAGACTCAGCAGCAGAAAGTGAGTCTGGTGAGTGAGGCCCGGATTGAATATGAGGAGAAGAAATACACCCAGAAGGAGGGATTCGTCCAGCGCCAGGTACCAGAGTGACTGCGCCCGGGATAGAGAGAGCATCGGCTAGTGGTTACAGCTGGGATCCAGGACTCCTGGGTCCTGCCCCAGCTCTGGGAAAAAGTGGGGTCTGGTGTGTTAGAGCAGGGGCAAGTGATGGTGCCAGGACTCCTGGGTCCCCATCTCACAGCCAGGGCCGGCTCCAGGCACCAGGCACCCAAGCTGGTGCTTGGGGCGGCACCTGGAGGGGGGCGGCGGCGCAGCGCTCCGGCCCCCGGGGAGAGCAGGGCCACAGCAGGGCTCGCCTCCCTCCCCCCGGCGCTCTGGCCGCCCTCCCCCCGCCCTGCCGGGGCTCGCCGCCCTGCGCTCTGGCCGCCGGGGGGGAGAGCCGAGCCCCAGCCGGGGCTCGCCGCCCTCCTCTCAGGGCTCCGGCCGCCCTCCCCCCCGGCGGCGGGGGGCCGGCCGGAGGGTTTTTCGCCTGGGGCGGCGAAAAAGCCAGAGCCGGCCCTGCTCACAGCTCCTCTCCCCCAGGTGCAGACGGTGGTGGAGCGCTCCGAGGCCTATAATTACCTGCCCATCATCGTGGGGAGCAGCGTGGGGGGTCTGGTCCTGCTGGCTCTCATCACCGCAGCCCTCTACAAGGTGAGTGGGGCTGGGTAATGGCAGCGGCAGCTCCAGGCACCAGCGCTCCAAGCGCGTGCCTGGGGCGGCAAGCCATAGGGGGTGCCCTGCCGGTCCCTGCGAGGGCGGCAGTCAGAATGCCTTCGGCGGCATGCCTGCGGGAGGTCCACCGGTCCCGCTGATTTGGTGGCAATTCGGCGGCGGGTACGCCGAATCCATGGGACCTGGGACCTCCCGCAGGCAAGCCGCCGAAGGCAGCCTGCCTGCAGTGCTTGGGGCGGCAAAAAAGCTAGAGCCACCCCTGGGTAATGGACCCCTCCTCCACAGCCCATCACCCTGGGGGCGTGGCCTGTGGCTCTCCCAGCTGGTGGCGGAGGTACAACGGTTTTTCCTTCGTGGGTTCTCACAGCCCGTCCCTCCCACTCCACCACCATGAGCCTGTCTCCTTCTGGCTCTCACCATCTCCCCTCTCTGTCTCCTTCCAGTTTGGCTTCTTCAAGCGCCAGTACAAGCAGATGATGGAGGATGGTGTGGAGGGTGAGGGGCCTGGCCCGACCCAGAGCGCTGCCGCTGGAAACCCCCCTGCTTCCGATGCCCCCAAACAATAGCCCCCCATGCGCCAGTGCCCCCAGCTTCACCTCTGTCTGGGCTGCTTCACCCCCACCTCATTATGTTGCCACCTCCAAGATGCATAAAAATTGGTCACTGGCCACCCTCCTACCAACAAAATGCATCCTAGTGCCAACTAGAGCCAGTCGATATTCAAATTAGGCTTGGAAGACTTCTCTTGATATTTTTATAATTTTTATGGAGAACGTTGAAGTTCCATTTGTTGGGACATGTTAGGGTTAACTAAGAGACATCGGAAGCTGCTAATTTGCTGACATGGCATTAGGGGACAAAGGCATATGTAGGCTGTCGTTTTTATGTTTAATAAATAAGTTGCCATTTTTTCCCCGTGGCTTGTAAGAATTTAGAAGAATGCAGCTGCATGAGAAATGTAGCAGTCGAATAATGCCCTTTGTGTAAAAGAAGGTAAAAGAAGTGTTATTTCCCTGTCCCTTCCTTTTCCAGCTATATAAACCGGCCCTGGCTTATGGCCCCTTTCTCCCTCCCCTGAGAATTGCTGACCAGGGAGATTTGTGGCAACAGATTGTTGCAAAGAAATGTATTTTCAAGGTAAAAATGTCTGTGTAATATGAGTAATGCTGTGCACAATAGATAGTCTGGGTTTACTAACAGAATTATTACTTAATAAGGGTTGTGGCGGTGTTGTAGCGGATGTAGGCATGTACATACTAACTTAGACAAAAAGAATGTGCTGTATCTAATTCAGTGCTTACTCGACAGTTGGGTCGAGGGGAACAAGTATTGCAATAAAGAAGCTCGTACTCAAATCTGCCTTTTGGGTCAACCTGCTTTTTTCTTCTAACATCTGATGTCACGAATAGGATCCCAGGGGAGAGTCGTGCCTGATCACCACGTCTCGCCATGGATTCAACGAGTAAGTTGAACAGGCCATTTTACTGCAACCCTGGTTAAAAAGTTTATTAATAAACTGGTGGGGAGATAGAAGGTCCTTATGTGGCTCCCTCTGGGGATTGTCAGGATTGGCCAGCCATCCAGGGGTGGGTGGAAGCTTCCCTGGCATCCAAGTGCTCCCAGGATAAGAAAAAGGCTGTTTTGTTGCAGGCTCTGTGTGAGGGTCTGTCAGGTTTAGGGGAGGAGGTTACAAGTCTTAAAAGCAAAGTTGCTGAAGAACAGAGCACAGTAAATCATCACATCTGCTGGCAGTCAGAATGGCTGAAAATCTATGGATTATTTTAATCGTCTTAAGTCAAAGAACCTGACCCTCAAGGGTCAAGTAGATGCCTTAAAGCAAACTTCTTGTTCCCCTGCCCCCATTTCTCTCCCCCTCTGCCTCCCCTCCTGCCCGCCCCCTCTCTCACACTTGGTTTTCTGAAGTTTTAATGGATGGTACTTTGGATACTTAGTGAAAAGTTTGTTTGGACAAAGCATGACAGAAGTCTGCTGCATTTCATTAAAAAAATTTAAGTAAAATGTCCATGGGTGACTGTCATAACTATAAAGGGAAGGGTAACCGCTCTCCTGTGTACAGTACTATAAAATCCCTCCTGGCCAGAGACTCCAAAATCCTTTTACCTGTAAAGGGTTAAGAAGCTCAGGCAACCTGGCTGACACCTGACCCAAAGGACCAATAAGGGGACAAGATACTTTCAAATCTTGGGGGGGGGGGAGGCTTTTGTTTGTGCTCTTTGTTTTGGGGGTTGTTCGCTCTTGGGACTAAGAGGGACCAGACATCGATCCAGGCTCTCCACATCTTTCTGAACAAGTCTCTCATATTTCAAACTTGTAAGTAAACAGCCAGGCAAGGCGTGTTAGTTTACCTTTGTTTTCTCAACTTGTAAATGTACCTTTTACTAGGGTGTTTACCTCTGTTTGCTGTAACTTTGAACCTAAGGCTAGAGGGGGGTCCTCTGGGCTCTTTAAGTTTGATTACCCTGTAAAGTTATTTTCCATCCTGATTTTACAGAGATGATTTTTACCTTTTTCTGTAATTAAAAGCCTTCTTTTTAAGAACCTGATTGATTTTCCTTGTTTTTAGATCCAAGGGGGTTGGATCTTGATCCACCAGGAGTTGGTGGAAGGGAGGAGGGGGGATGGTTAATTTCTCCTTGTTTTAAGATCCAAGGGGTTTGGATCTGTATTCACCAGGGAATTGGTGAAGGTCTCTCAAGGCTTCCCAGGGAAGGGAATTAGTTTTGGGATGGTGGCAGCGGACCAGATCTAAGCTGGTAGTTAAGCTTAGAAGTTTTCATGCAGGCCCCCACATCTGTACCCTAAAGTTCAGAGTGGGGAAGCAGCCTTGACAGTGACCATGGAGACAAATGTTTTACTGCCTTTTTAAAGAATCCCAAGGTAAAGGAGGCACAGGGTAGGGCAGCTCTGTTGCATGGATTGTACTGGGTGCCTATGTCGTTACAGGCAAAATGTACCACCTTAAAGAATTGAATGCACAAGTAAGTAATTTAAAGTGACTGAAGAGTTACAAGTAGCCTTTGTAAAAATTAATACTACAAAGTTTGGAGGAAAGTAAATGGTTGGGAGTTGTGAAAATGCTAAAAGGTAACGGTTGTAAAAAATGTTACAGAGTAACAGTTGTGGGGTTATAAAAGTGTAACCCCCTTGGAAATTACCTAGATTCCTTGGGCTCTGTCTGCTGGCAGCTCAGGGAGGGGGAGCCACGGCAAACTCAGAGTCTGCCTGGCAACCAGTAGGGAGTGAGATGCCCCTCCCAGGGAGCTCAGGAAAGGGGAGAAGCCATTTGGAGTGAGTCTGGAGCCAGCCAGGGTAAGGGCAGGACTGGCTGTGTGGGGAGCTGGTGAGTCCTAGGCCTGCATGCAGGGTCCCCCCCCCGAAGACTGCCTTCTACGGACCTGAAAGCAAGATCCTTCAGCTAAGCTTTTCCTCCTCCACTGATAATTCCCAGTTTGTAGAGTTTTGCTGGAAAACTTCCCCAGCCAGGCTGAGTTTGCCCTCCAGCTCCCTAGGGGAGACCAGTCACCACATGGTCAGCTCTGCTCTGACAGCTAGTGCAGGCTGCTGCCTGCTGGGAGTGTGTCTGGACGCTGGGCTAGGAGACGACAGTTTGGATTTTAGTACGGTTGTGTAACCTGCACCTTGAGCCCGGCACCCCTTTGTGGTGAGGGGAAATCCTGGGACCGAAGCAGCCTGACTCCTGCCTGAAGAGGATCCCGGCCAGCAGAGATCAGCCCCTCTGCAGTGACTGAGGAGTCCAGAGTCAGCTCTGAACCTGAGGATCATTCATGGAGTTTGTGAGTTCACCATCTTTTAGTTAGTCGGGGAATTTGTTTTGGGGACCCCCTACTCCCTGAACTGTGTCCTCAAGCCAGGGAGTGAGGGGTTGGGGATTTTATAACCTGCTGCATATTAAACCTGTGGAGGGACTTACCACCTTCTCCCACTTGTGAGTCCTTTGGGCTGTAATGAACCCAGTCAGCCACACTGCTAAACCACTGCAGAGAAGAATTTTGTGGTCATTGGTCATCAAGGGCCCCAACAAAGTACACGTACAACAACGGGACACTAATCTTACATTTGCTACATCAAGTCACATGACTGGGGAAAGTCACAGATATTAGCAGCGTGGGGACTGGTGAACCTAAAAAGAGTGTTTTACCCTGTTATGTTATATTTGTCTCCTGTTTAATATAATTATTGTGTTGAATATATTGCATGTGTTTGTGTTATTTCTTGGAAATATATCTATCTCAGAGAGCTGGAAGGGACCTTGAACGGTCATTGAGTCCAGCCCCCTGCCTTCACTAGCAGGACCAAGTACTGATTTTGCCTCAAATCCCTAAATTGCCCCCCTCAAGGATTGAACTCATGACCCTTGGTTTAGGAGGCCAATGTTCAAACCACTGAGTTATCCCTCCCCTTGTCTCCAACTTTCTGCCAAATAAGTGGGGATTACCCAGTGGTTAGAATTTTCCTCCCAAGCTGCCCTGCCAGGAAGGAGCGAGCGGGGTGGAGGCACTGCCAAATAAATTCATAGGAAAAAATAAAGATACACACCTGCTGAGTGGGTGGCGGGATCCAGAAGAACCCAGACCTGTCCATCAAAACCTGTAAGCAGATTGGCATTAAAGAAGGTAACCGAGTGGAGAGGGGGCACTACAAAAGAAAAATTTTTGATTTAAAAATAAAACCCAGTTATGTAAATGTAATTATTTGTGCAACTTGGTACAGTCACACTGGGTGGAATACTGGTAGTTAAACAAATTATACAAGGAGGTCAGGTGGCTACTACCACCACCTGTTTTTGTCCCCAGGTCTTTACAGCTATTCTGAAGGAAAATGGGCCCTTTTCCCACAGAAATGGTCTGTAAAGCACTGCTGCTGGCAGCAAGCAGCCAAATACTCTAATCTATATTATTTAACTATTGGACAATTTAATCAAAATCACTAAAGACATGTAAGGGGTTTCTATTAGAACTTAATTTGACTGTCTCTAGTTGCACAAAATGGGAATGTAATCTAAATACAGTTATATTAAAATAATAAAAGCAGTACAAGGGGCGTTAAGCAAAAAAAATTTCGTGTGTAAACCTTTTTATGTAATTATGTAAGGTTTTAAGGACTTAAACCAACACTCATGGTTTATAAAATCCTGTTTGTAGGTTTAAAATAAATTGGTTTGGTTTTATTTTTTATTAAAAAAGAAAAAGAAAGAAAAAACAATTCCACTAAAATTCCTTTTAAATTTCTCATTCACAGTAGCAACACTGACAGACCCTTGTGCTAAACACGGGCAGCTAGTGTAATGTGGTGTTGGTATTTAGCATTTAACCCTTTGGGTACTTCCATGTTTTTTATAAATTATAATATTTTTTTAAATAAAAAACAAAGAATGTGTTCCTGGCTGGGGCAGCCAGGATTGGGAAAATGGGAAGAGATTCTGGATCCTATTTTAGGGGTAATAAATAGCAGCTAAGAACTGCAGGAGGAAAACAAAAAGTTAAAAGACAATGTACCTCTGAAGGAAAGGCAGGGGTGAAATGTA